ATCCCACAGACCCCACACATCCCACACATCCCAGAGATCCCACCAGACCCCACAGATCCACAGACCCCACAGACCCCACAGATCCCACAGACCCACAGACCCCACAGATCTCACAGACCCCACAGACCCCACAGATCCCACAGACCCGCAGACCCCACAGATCTCACAGACCCTGCAGATCCCACAGACCCCGCAGACCCCACAGACCCCACAGATCTCACAGACCCCACAGACCTCCCAGATCCCGCAGACCTCACAGGTCCCACAAACCCCACAGACCTCACAGATCCCACAGACCTCACAGATCCCACAGACCCCGCAGACCCCGCAGATCTCACAGACCCCGCAGACCTCGCAGACCCCTCCCCACTCTGGGACCCTCGCACTGCCCCCTGTGATGAGGATCAGATTCCCTGAGCTCTCCTCCCTCCCCGATCCCAACAGGAGCGGGGCCAGAAGCTCCTGGAGACGCTGCAGGAGCTGGAGAAGCAGGGCCTGGAGGGGATGAAGGCGCTGCTGGAGGGGACAGAGACCCCCCACCCCGAGGAACTGGCCGACCTCTTCTTCGACTGTGTGGAGGCAGAGCTGAAGTTTTACACATAAACCCCCTACAGGTGGGTGGGCTCGGCTTCCCCCCTGGAATTACTCCTGGGTAGGGAATGAGAGAACATTCCTGGTGTCCAGCCCTGGCTCCCTGCTTCCTCCAGCCCTGCCTGGGGGTGTGGGACCTCCAGCCCCTAATTTACCCTGGAGAAAAGCACTGAGATGTGTCCGTGGCCTGGAATGAGGGGCAGGGGGAAGGAGAGGGATATGGAGTGGGATTTGGAGCCCTGCCTGTGCCAGACCCCTGGGATGGCTGCAGGGTGGGGGATCCACGGCATCCACACGGGATTGGGGTGGGAACAAAACCTTTACTCCCGACCACTGCAGGATATTTGGGATAACTGCCTATTCCCTGTTCCTTTGGCACCAGTCTCCTTCTCCAGAGCTTTGCTCCGGGACTGGACACCACCAGGAGCTCGCTGGGACCCGCGGGATCCCCGGAGGGGTGTCCCTGGCT